GCACGCCCCGACCTCCATTGTTGCAACGTTGATGCTGGAGAGGGAGCGGTCCGTATTGCGCCAGAGCGAGGGAAAGCCGGTGCAACCTGTCCTTGACGAATTGCGCGACCTCTACGCAAAGTTGGCGACCGCGGGAATCACCTACCCGGAGCAGAGCAAGCGCCTGAAGATGCTCTCGCTGCTGCCGGAATCGTGGCTTCAATTCACGAGCGGATTGAGCCTGCTGCAGAACCAGAGCTCGTGGACACTCGAGTGGGTGTGGACAAAGATTCTGGAGGAGGACTTTCGTCGCCGCCAACTAAGGGGTGGAGACGAAGGCAGCAGCGGCTATGGGATGCAAGGAAGCCGACGTGGCAGAGGACGTGGCTTCGGTGGTGCTGGACGCGGTGCAAAGAAGGACGACAACTCCAACGACCAACAAGGAGGTACCGGTTGGGGTCGCGGTGCGAAATCTGGACGTGTGGGCAAGTCGGGTGCTGGTGGCAAAATGAAAGGGAGTTGCTGGTATTGTGAGAAGGAGGGGCACCCCTGGTTTTTGTGCTATAAGAAACCCGATGGATGGACCCCCCAGAATCGTCACCAGGATGGCGGCGCGCGGAGGAACCAGAAAAACAGCGCGAGCATGGTCGCCGATTCGTCCGACAACAACCCGAAGAGCAACGACGGTGCGGAAAATAAGGAGTGCACCGCGGGCCAGTTCTTCCATATTGTAGAACAGGGGGAGCAGGGGGAGGAAGAAGACGCCTCTGCCAAGGTTGGAGCAGAGCTGCACCCCCTGGATTATTGGGTGTTGGACACGGGCGCTGCTTGGACGATGACGCCGCGCAAGGACCTGCTGGACCACGTACGCGCTGCACCGATCAACGAGGTGTGCTCCGCCTCTGGACACGCGCTGAAGGTGGCTGGTGCGGGACGAGCTGCGTTTAACGAAGCAGGTGGCAAGCCGGTGGTGCTGCACGTCGTTCTTCTCGTTCCTGAACTCAAGGCCAACCTCATCTCCCTTCGTAAGCTTGGGAAGGCTGGGGTGAGCACTAGCACGGATGGGGCACGCACTTATAAGGGGCAGCTGGGCAATCGGGTGCTTTGGGATCTGCACGAGAGCACAGACGTGTACAGATCCATGTGGCAGCTGCCGGCGTTGGCGTGGCATGGTGGGGGGCAGGCTGGAGAGGGGTCTGCATCCCAGGGGGAGTGCAACGCCGTTGGAGGGGTTGGTGTGAAAGTGTGAGCCAGATCTGGGGAGACGGATTGTGCAACGGCACACCGACGCTTGGGGCATGTGGCAATGCCCTTGTTGAAGCAGTTGGAGAAAGATGGAGCAGTTAAGGGTCTGAAGCTGAACAGACAGCTACCTGATGAGAATTGTGAAATCTGTTTGCTCTCAAAGTTTACTCGTTTCCCCTTCCATACTGTGGCTGGCAGGAGCCAGAAGCTGTTGGAGCTGGTCCACATGGACTTGGTGGGTCCGTTGCCGGTTCAGGGACACAAGGGGGAGCGGTACTTTCTGACCATAGTGGATGATTGGAGCAGGCTTATGTGGGCATATTCTCTGAAGCAGAAGGACCATGCCGCCTCTACGATACGGGAAGATTGGCTGTCATTCGTGGAGAAGCAAATGGAGTGTGTGGTGAAGCGGATTAGGACAGATCGGGGTGGTGAGTTCCTTGGAGCTGAGATGATGGCATGGCTCAAGAAGGAAGGCATCCAGAGGGAGCTGACCACGGCTTACACCCCACAGTCTAACGGTGTAGCAGAGCGGGTGAACCGGACAATTCTGGAGACAGCTAGGGCGCTGCTCATAGAATCTGGGCTGGGCAACTTGATGTGGCCCCATGCTGTTCGGCACACTACGGTCGCTAGAAAAAGGGTACTCACCAAGGTTGGGGATGACTTGTGGGTGCCGTTGGAGAGGTGGTTTGGGAGGAAGCCGCCAGTGGACATGCTGAAGGTGTTCGGTTGCATGGCAGTCGCCAACATGCCCAAGACCTACCACAGTAAGTTGGGGGCAAGTGCAATCTGGTGTGTGCATTTGGGGCTGGCTGCTGAGAGCAAGGGATGGCTGCTGTGGGAACCTTCCAAGGGTGTGTTGTTTGACAGCAAGGATGTGAAGTTTGTTGAGGGCATGATGTATGGGAGCTGGGAGAAACAGCCGGAGGCCAGGGTGTCCCAACAGATGGAGGAAATCACCATGCAGCTGGACCTGACTCCTAGTGTGTGGGAGGAGGGAGAGGAGGTAGCTGCAAAGGGTGGTGATGGAGAGAAGGTGCACGAGGCACCTGCTGGTGGAGGTGATGGTGTGGAGACTAGCGGTAGCACTAGTGGAGCTGCTGGATCCGAGGGAGGAGAGCAGCAGCAGGGAAAACTAAGAAGCCGAAGGGTGTTGTTATGAGGGGATGGGAGACACCCGTCTCCAGGCCAGGACGTACCCGTATGGCTACTAAGAAGCTGACTGTAGGAGCTGATGTAGCAGAGCAGCAGCTTGGGACAGAGGAGGCATTGCTGATTCTACCGCATGGCTATGATCCGGATGAGGAGGATGAACCTGCCTACTGTTTTCTTCCCCTTGCACCAGAGGAACCAGCTAGCATGGAGGAGGCATTAGCTGGACCAGATAGGGACAAATGGCTAGCTTCTAGGGATGCTGAGTACCAGAGCCTGCTGGAGAATGGCACTTGGGAACTAGTGGTGCTGCCTGAGGGAAAGAAAGCGGTACAATGCAAGTGGGTGCTAAGGATCAAGGCCGATGACAAGGGACAGGTCACCATCTACAAGAGTAGGCTGGTGGCTAAGGGGTTTATGCAGAAGGAGAAGCGGGACTTCAATGAGATCTTTGCTCCCACTGCCAAACCCCCTACCCTCCGTGTCTTGTTGGCAGATGCAACCGTTAGTTGAAAATTCATCATTCAGATAGATATATCTACGGCATTCCTCAATGGGATTTTAGAGGAGGATGTGTACATGACGCAGCCACCTGGGTATGAGGATGGTACGGGCAGGGTGTGCAAGCTGAAAAAGTCCATCTACGGCTTGAAGCAGGCGCCACGCTGCTAGTACCAGAAGTTGGCAGCTGTTTTAGAGGAGATGGGATTCAGGACCAGCAGCTGTGATGAGAGCCTCTTTCTCAAGGGGGAGGGGGAGAAGCTGGTGCTGTTTCTGGTCTATGTGGACGATATTCTTCTCTTTAGCAGAAGCATGAAGGAGATCCAGAAGGTGCAGCAGCAGCTGATGGAGAACTTCAAGTGCAAGAACCTTGGGGAGGTAAAGTACTATCTCGGGATGCATGTGGAGAGGGATCTGGATCATAGGTGGTTGAAGCTGCACCAAGAGAAGTTCATCAAGGAGCTGGGGGAGAAGTGCGGGATTGAGAATGAGCGCGAAGTTGCAACTCCCTTGCCAGCAGAATTCAAGCTTGTGAAAGCTGCAGAGGATGAAGGGGTTGAAGCCGAGGAGCAGCAGCAATTTCAATCCTTGGTGGGCAGCCTCTTGTATGCAGCAGTTCACACAATGCCCGACATCTCTTTCTCGGTTGGGCAGCTGGCTAGGGTGGTGCAGAATCCATCACAAGAGCAGGTGGATGCAGCTGAGCATGTGGTGAAGTATCTGAACTCTCACCCAAGCATTTGAGTTCAATACTCCGCATCTGCACAGGTGAAGCAGAAAGTGGTTGAGGTGCTGAAAGAGAAGGGGGAGAGGCTTGGAGAAGGCAAGCTCTTTCTCACTTGCTTTACCGATGCTACGTGGGCCTCTGAGAAGGAGGATTCCTCATCTGTGGGAGGATACATCTGCGTAGTTGGAGGAGGACCGGTTAGTTGGAGGTCAAAGAAGCAGACGGAGACAGCACTCTCTTCTGTGGAATCAGAATACATGGAGATGTTCCATGGGGTGAAGGAGGTGATTTGGCCATCCACAAAGGAGGTATTCTCATGCCCTATCGCAGGTGATATCCACAAAGGAGGTATTCTCAGTTCACCTGTTTTTGCAGTTCCACACGCAGTCTGGCTCTTCCTTCAGGAAGCACACGCATCCTGCAGGAATCAATACCTCCCCGCATGCCCCCAGCCTGGTTATAACCATCTCCTCAAACGCCTCTCCCACTGCCTCGGCTGTCTTGTGCACTCGCAGCCTCGCTTCGGCCCACTTGCTGACATGCTCTACCATGAGGAGGATGTACCTTCTCCCCTTGGTTGTGACCGGCAGCTCCCCTGCTATGTCCAGTGACCAGCGGTAGCCTAGGCTTACTATGGGCAAGGGCAGCTGCTCCGCCTTCTCCCTCTCCAGCACCGCTCTGTTCCTGCAACATGCCTCACACTTCTCCACCCACTCCTTAATCTGCCGTCGCATACCCGCCCACCACCATCCCGTCTGTACTAACTGCTGTGTGCGCAGTGGCCCGTAGTGCCCCAGCTTCGTGTGGACTTCTTTGATAATGGCCTGTTGCTCGGCCGGCGCCGGGACGTGCTTCTATCCTTCCCCCGTGCGGAGCTGGACTTGTTCTTTGAACCAGCGGTAGTGCTCTCCCCTGGCGCGCACCCTGGCTGGCACTGCTCCTTCTTCTGTGGTTGCCCCTTGTATCCAAGCTAATGCCTCCTGATCCTCCCAAATATCTGCCGGCCCCCCGTTAGTCTTCCCCCATGCGTGTCCTCTAGCTGCCTCTTTCGCCATAGCCATGAGGCAGGCCGACGGCTGCACCTCCGGCGGATTCCTGGACAGGCCGTCCACGTGCTGCATGGTCTTGCCTGGGCGGTGCCGGATCTCAAAATCATATTCCTGTAGCTTCATTGCCCAGCCAGCGTTCCTCCCAGTCAGGTCAGGTGTCTGCATAAGCCAGAGCAGCGGCTGGTGGTCTGTCACCTGCGTGAACTTCCTTCCCTGCAGGTAGACCCTGAAGTGCTTCACCGCCCAGACTACCGCCAGCCCCTCCCCTTCGTACGATGAGTAGTTGGCTTCTGCCGCGTTGCAACTTCGGCTAGCGAAGGCCACCACCTTCTCCACCTCACCCTTCATCTGCGCCAGCACCGCCCCCATGCCCGCATTACTCCAGTCGGTGTATAGGGTGAAGGGCAAGTCTGCTCTGGGCAGCTCCAGCACTGCCCCATTCTTCACGGCTCCCATCAGGTCCTGCACCGCCCTCTCTTGGTCTGGTCCCCATTCCCACGGCTTGTCGTCCCTGAGTAGCTGGTTCAGTGCTGCGGCGCGGCTACTAAAGTTCGGGACGAACTTTCGGTAGTAGTTTAAGAACCCCAGTAGCGCCCGCAAGGTAGTCCGATCCTTCGGTGTGGCCACGCGGTCCAGTACTTCCACTTTCGCCTTCTGAATCCCAATCTTCCCCCCTTCCACTTCGAACCCCAGGTACTCGACTGTCGTTTTCCCGAACTTGCACTTCCCTGGATGGCAGGTCAGACCTGCCCCCTGAATGGCGCTCAGCGCGGCCTCTACGTCCTGCACGTGCGAGCTGCTGTCTGTGCTGAACACGATGACGTCATCGATGTAACATGCTGCGTTCTTAACCTCCCGCAGCACCTGGTCCATGACCTGCTGGAACTCTGGCGATGCGGTCTTCAGCCCGAAGGGTAGGAAGTTCCATTCGTATTGCCCGTCTGGCCCATGAAACGCTGTCTTCTTCTTGTCTGCTTCGGCTATGGGGATCTGGTTAAACCCCTAACGCAAGTCTAGTGTAGTGAACACGAGCGCTTCGGCTAGCAGATCAAAGATTTCGTCCGGCATTGGCGTCTGATACCTTTTCATGATCATGATTTTGTTGAGGCCCTGGTAATCCCCACACATTCTCTTGGAAAGCACCTTGCCTGTCAGGTCTGTTCGTGCTGCTACCACCGTGGCTGCTGCGTATTCTGAATTCGATTTTCAGATGAAGCCTGCCGCCATCAGCTCCTCACATTTCTCCTTACATATCAGTGTCTCTTCCGCTGTCATGCGTCGCCGCCGCTGATACACTGGGATGTTTGGCGTCAAATCCAACGTGACCACCGCCATGTTGCACCGCCCAACCTCCTTCAGTGAGTAAGCAAACGCGGCCCGGTGCCTAGCAAGGACTTCTTTCAACTTCGTGGCGTCCTCCTCCGACACCCCTTCTCTGATTACCCACTCCGGCTGTCGCTCTGCCTGCTGCGCTGGCTCTTCCTTCACGGTCGGCTGCTCTGCCTCCTCCCTTCCCATGGCCGTTGCCCCTCCTGTCTCTGTGTTGCTACCCGTGTGCTCACTTCCTGCTGTCTCCGTGACCGAAGCTGTCTCTTTCGTTGCTGCCATGAGGGCGAAGCCGCTGTAGCCGAACTCCCTCTCTTCTCGCTCTCGGCGCCGCTGCCTCTCAATTGCCTCTTCTAGCCAGCCGAAGTCTTCCCGCTTCTTGTCCACCGATTCCTCCTCACACTCTGCTGGCAGCCAGATCTCCTGCTCGGTGTACACTGCTGGCCTTTCATCATCCTCCTCCCAAAGGTAAACCCATCTTCGCTCCAGTGGGTGCCCCCGCTCATGTTGCCACTCGTCGTGTTCCTGTATCTCACCCAGCATTGCCCGCGCCATGGCCTCCTTTGCCGCCGATCTCTTTGTAGGTGGGCGCACTGCCGCTGCCTTGTCTCTCTTCCGCTCCCACCGGAGCTGGAAGTGGTACATCCGGATGGTGGCTACGAGCCAATGCATGACGTTGAGATCCATGGCCCTGCCCAGCGCTCTCCTTCTCTCGTCTTGCGTCACCTCTGGGTGTGCGGTTGCATCCTCCATGAAGCCCATTGCCAGCTCCCTCTCCAGCGCCGTAGGTTCCTGCCACTCCCCGGCCGTGCTGTCGTAGACCATGCCTGGGCCTGGGTCGTCCCCGTGCATCCTGAAGGCTGCCGCGTTTCGGTAGGAGACGAACGTCGGCCAGGCCTGCCTTGGCTTCCCTACTTTGTTACAAGGGAACTGAGCTGGGTGGTCCAGCCTTGTCACCGGTGCCGCCAACCTCCCTGGTTCCATGATGTCCTCTACCAGGCGGGGAACTGGCCGCTCCATCAGGGATAGGCGATACTGTAGTGCAGCGTCACTGACCCCATTCGTCCAAAATCTTCGCACTCGGTGTGTCCTGCTCCCTATTTGCGCTCCGTCTATCACCACGCCGGGCCCCAGCACCGCCGTGATTTCCTCATGCGCCAGCTGCACCTGCTCCCTTATGTCCCCTTCCATATCCACGTTCTCCACTATGTAAAGCACGTCTCCCTGGATTCTTTTGATCAGCCCCAACACTCGCTGCAACTCCCGGAACAAACTGCTCCTTTCGTCTCTCATGCCTCTCCCTTCTCCTACTCGTGAGTAGCCTTGGCACTCCCATCCTGCCACCACTATGTATATTCTCCCCCATTCGCGCAACTGCTGTTCATCGACGCGTCGGATGTCGCTGGCCCCGCATAGCATACTGTGGTCCAGGGTGGCGATGCAGAATTGATGCGGGTAACGTTCATGCAGCTTGTGTGCGTGGCACACTGCCATCTTAGCCACCTCCATGTCACTCTCCACCAAGATCCACTTCTCCACGCTGATACCTGACTTCAGCACCGCCGCCAGCCCCGTTCCTATACCGCCAAAGAGGTCGAGCACGACCGTCGATCCCAGTAGTCGCTTGGTGTCGGTGCACAGCGCCTTGAGGTCTGGTTCTCCATCTGCACGTTCCGCCTGCGGCGCTGGCCGCCGTGAGATCTGCTGCCAGGTGGGTATGCCCAGCTCCTCCCGTATCTCCGCTTCTGTGCACTGGTAGGCTTCTCGTGGTTCCCTTCTTACGAAGCGCACTGGCAAGGTACTAATTGGCCCGTCCTCTTCCCAGTAGCACACCCGATACTACACCTTCTCCTCCCACATGCAGATGGTGGCTCCGATCCCGAACAGGTATTCCACCCCGATGAGCAAATCAAAATCCTCTGATTTCGACACTCCGCAGTCCACTCTCAGCGCGCACTCCTCCGTAGTTCCTGGGTTCAGCATCAGGGACATGGATTGCCTGGTCTTGGGCATCCATTTCGCCTCTCCCCCGTCCGCCGTCATTAAGAGGTATCCTTCTGCGATCAGCCGTCCCGGCTTGTGCAGCTGCAGCTTTTCCGCCAGGCTCTTGCCAATCAACACATGCGCTGCTCCCGTGTCCACTATTGCTCGTTGCGCCATGAAGCCTCCGATAGTAACCGCTCCAGCGGCTATAGTCAGCACGATGGCCTGACAGGCCATTCTCTCTCTTGGGTGCCGATATGCTGCTCCCGCTCCCTCCGGGCGATCACTAGCTCGCCGCCTTGGTCCCGCTTCTTACAGCACATCTTCAGGGAAGTTATGCCTCCTTGTGGCCCTCCGCAAGCCCAATTCGTCACGCTCACGCGCCGGCTGAGCCATGAGAATAAACTCAGGTTCCTCCACGTCTTCATCTTCGCGTGCTACCATGGCCGGTTCCTTCGGCTCGGCAGCCTCTAAGTCGGCTAACTGCGCCCGCAATCACGCGATAGTGGCTTGGCGATCCTCCCCTGCTTCTGCGCCCCGGCGCTCCCGTCTTCCCGCGTAGCAATCCGCTTCGCGGTGTCCTTTGCGATTGCACCGCGTACAAGTTGGCGCGCCTGGGCATTCCCTTCGCATGTGCTCTCGGCTTCCACACAGCGAGCAAGCCGCAAGGTTACGGCAATCTCGTCGGAGATGCCCGGTTAGACCGCAGTTGTGACATCTCCGCGGCTCCTCTCTCGCCCTCTCCTCTTCCTCTGGGTAGGCCGATGCCGCTGCCCATGCCGGCCGCCTCCTCTCTGGTCCTCTATCCGCCGTCCGCTCCACTTCATATAGCCGACGCCCGGTCTCCAATCGTTTCACGATTTCATAGGCTTCCCTCAAGGTGGCTTCTGATCCCATTTCGAACACTCGCACTTCCACGTCTTGCCGCAGTGGCTGGCTCAGTCCGTTTACAAACATCCCAATCAGCCGTCCCTGGTCTGTGCAGTTCATGTCCTCCCCCAGCTCCACGAGTCTCCCATAGTACGCCAGCAATGATTCCTCTTCCCGACGACGGAATCCTCGGAACTCGACCACCCTTTCCGTGGTTTGTAGCGGGAACTGGTCGCGGAACATCGATAGGAAGCGCACCGTCGGGTCCCGTTCGCCTGGCGCTCGTCTCGCAGACCACTCCAGCAGCTCTCTCCTGGAAATTCTGTAGTAGGTCTCCGCCTCGCCCGCCAGGGTATTCGCCAAGCCTCTGAAGAATTCTTCCGGATCCAACCGATCCTTCGCCCACCGCGCCTGGAGGTTCTCCAGCTGCATGATGTAGTTTTTAAGACTCGGTCCCCGTCTCGCGTCTCCCGATAATCTCTCCGGCACTTCTATCTTGGGCAGTTGCGTGCACTTCCATTGCTGCAGCGTCGTCTCGTCTTCGGTTCCTTGCCACGAGGCACTCCGCTGATACGCACTCGGTCCCCCCAGCTGCAGGCGCCCCAGCATCTGGCTGCGATGGCGTTCCCGCTGCTCATCGGACGCATTCTTCCCGCCATCGCCTGGTTCTTCCCGAGCGCCGCCTTGCGAACCACTCGCTCCTCCACTGAGGCCCTTCTGGCCCTCCGTTCTTCCCGTCTCCCGCTGACCCCCTTCTTCATTCAGCATCCTTTCGTTCGAACTAAGCCTGACCGTCACCGGCTCTAGCTGTCGTCCCGATCTCAGTTGCATAGACTGCGTGTTTGTATTCTCATCTACCTCCTAACTCATCCTGACTGCGGTTATGGCTCCGTGCTAAGACTGCTTATCTTGCAAACAGAATGCTGCAGTAATTCACGAAAACAAACACGCAGTGGCAGTCCCATGGCCCAGGACCCTGCCTTAAGCTTCCCTACGCAAACCCTAGCAAGGCTGGCCTAACAATGCAACAGTGCTAGGCTACCTAGCTTGCCATCCACAATGCTTTTCCACCCGTCTTCAGCTGGCAATGCTGCTTCCCAGCTCTGTCCTGGACTCGGTGTCTACAAGAAGAAACCAAAGCACACACATGCACACCACACATCACACAGTATGCTTCCCACCCGCACCCTCCTCCACGTCATCTCGCTGTAACCCTGCCAGCGCACCCCGAATCCAGTTCCTCGCCCCACCTTTCTGCAACCTGTCTCACCCCGCAACAAACGCTGTGCTTCATGGGCTGAACAAGCACAGGCGTATCAAGTGGCACTGGTTGCGTAAAGAGGTGAAGAGGGGGACGGTGAATCCGATCTACATCAAGACTCACCAGCAGCCAGCAGACTTCCTCACCAAGAGGCTTGCGGATGAGCCTCATTGGCGTTGTGTGCGGATGAGTGGAATGAGCATGAACTAGTATGGAATGATGGGGATGCAGCCGGCAGGCTGAGGGGGAGTGTGTTGGGTGCAAATTCACATTGCACGACATCCTCCGTCTGTTTGTATGAATATGTGTGTGCGAATGCATTTGGGTGTGAATGGAATGTTCGTGTGTTTGTTTGCTTTTGCAATTTTTGCTTGATGCATTTGCAGGTACTCGCGCATTATGCGCTTCGGCACAACATTGTACGCGCTATCAACAGTACAAGCAGAAAGGACGAGCTCGCAAAGGAACCCAAGATGGAAGCTTTGCGGTTCGGTTGAATTGATTGTGTAGATTCAGTTCTATCCAACTCGAAATTGTACTGTTTTGTTTGGTTGACTATAGTGTAGCAGGGCAGGCACTATAGGGGTACAATTTAGGTGAAGGTTGGATGTTGTTTGTCTGTATCTGCATGCTACAGGGCCAGGGGAAACCAGCAGAACCAGCATTTGGCTGGTTGGGCAAAGACAAAACAGGTTCTCTTTTTAGGACCTGAACCTGGTTGTTGTTTTCCCAGGTTGGAAAAACAGAACCAGAGGTTGTTTACCAACCTACCACCTGCTGTTTTGTCCAGCCAGGTTGGTTCTGCTGCTTGGAATTATTTGGGATCATCCTTGGTTGTTCCCAGGTTTATTCCCAAGGTCCTTGCTAGCTAGAACTATTTATTCCTTCTCTGTTTGTACCTGAATACAGTCAATTTGATTCAAGCAAAGTCCTCCCTTCCTGGAATTTCGTTTCTACGCGGTGCGACGGCGGAATGCTACCCGAGTCAACGCTAGTACGCTAGCACTCCAACGCTAGGCAAACGCTGTCCGAGCCATAAATTTGTAATGGCGGAACTTTTCGCGAGGCAACTTGGCTTATTTTTAAGCTCTTGGAGTGATTTGATATAGGAAATTCTGAGCTTAATCCGGTCGATGGTCTGCACGATACGCTGCGCGACGTTCAAGGTACTCTTGTTATTTTGACTAAGTCATTCTTGATCCCTCTCTCTACAAACTCGGACTCGAGGATAGGGGCTGGTCTTGTACCAGGCACTCAAGGACCCTTGGAGGTGACCCCGAGGAGAGGTTTTAAGTTTGATTAAGTCTTAATAGCTTGAGTTTATTAGGCCCTTACACCAACATCCATTTCGTGGCTGTTAGGAGCGAGAAGCCTTTGGAGCTGGTCCTCGTGGACTTGGTGGGCTCGCTGCCTGTTCAAGGGCACAAGGGGTAGCAGTACTTCTTGTCTATTGTAGATGATTGGAGCAAGCTGATGTGGGCATGTCCTGTGAAGCAGAAGGACCACGCCGCCTGTACGATATGAAAAGATT